TTTCATCATATCAGTGGCATTTCAGCTCGTCATGAGCCAAAGGCTTCTTCAGAACAATCTTCCATTCGCCCCTGCCTCTGGCAACTTTCTCCATGCTTTAACTCCGATGGATTTTAGATCATCCTCTATGTTATCTTGATACCTAAGTTTTGGTCTTCCTCTGGATCGTCTTCCCACTGGTCCTCTTCGGTCGAAAATTTTTCTGATCGTTTCATCTTCATCTCGCCTAATTACATGTCCTATCCATCAAAGGCGTACTAATTTAATAAATTTTACAACGTCAGGTACTACACCTGAAGAAGCATCTTAGTTTACTTTATACGATCTTTTTGACCAAGCACCATCAGCTATAACGGTTATTAACTCATTTCCGTCGGAATCTACTTCACCAATTTCTTTGGCTAAAGCTAATTCCTCCCGTCCAGCCTCTTCTAAGGAATCACAAAGTGTTTGGCCGATGATATCTGCAACTGTTTCCGTATGTTTTGCATACTGCCTGTAGGAAATCACAGGTATATTTAATGCAGCGTGCTGCTGCTGTATGTCTGAATAACCAGAACCATTCAAGTTCAGTGAATTGTTACCAGAATCCTATGTTGCTATCTCCTTTCAATATTCCACATTTGACATTTAAAAGTCAATGTACTTATCAATCCGTCCATTTTTTCTTTGATAATCTCCATATTAGAAAAGTTGCATGAAAATGGAGAATGATTATTCAAACCTTGAATAGATATATATATATATATATATTATATATATATATATATATATATATGACATTTAAAAGTCAATGTACTTATCAATCCGTCCATTTTTTCTTTGATAATCTCCATATTAGAAAAGTTGCATGAAAATGGAGAATGATTATTCAAACCTTGAATAGATCTGTATATATATATATATATATATATATATATATATATATATATATTATATTATTATATATATATATATATATATATATATATATATATATAAAGTATTATAATAATATTATATATAAAGTATTATATATATATATAAAGTTAAATAAAAGCTTTTAAAAACGGTTGTAATATAAATAATAAATACTAAAGCAGTGCAATTGCTCTCCTTTTCCTTGACATAGGACGTTTACTGGGACTCATTTTTTATCTTGTCTCTTATAACTTATATCACTAACCTAATGTAATACTTAAAAATACGCGTAAACTAAAGAACTTTTAACTTATACCACTAAACTAATAATATATTAGGTACTTAACATACACGTAAACTAAATAATTTCAATGTTTTCAAAATAAATAAGAATACTGTAAACTGTAAAAACTAAGCAAGTTGATAAAGAAAATACAAGAATGAAAGAACTAAAATGGATTCTAATTCAAGCGAACTAACTGACCGTACCCATAGAGAAATAAAAATAAGACCGTACCGTACGCTCATGTGATTTGACGTCACTAATGCGATAACGATCAAGCTCAGCGACAATGATGAGGAACACGTTTCACTATTAGATTTCAGTATTTTTTAGCAATTTTCTTCAAAGTTTGAATACGCTTTTCTCGATTATTACTGGACACAGAAAGGTGAAAAAGAATCAACGATTACAGAAAAAAAACTCTTTCAACTGATGGGCGTGAAAAGTTTGGTTATAATAGAACGTTAAACAGTATAATCCAATTTTTCAACAGAAAATTCAAAAAAATAAAAAAAGTAAAACCATCAGTTTAAATGCAACATAATTTCGTATAACATGTCCAAATTTCGAGACATTTCGTCGGTAAATAACAGAGAAAAAATTTTGGTGCACCGATAAAACAGCCTTAAAAAACGCTGCATTTAAACTTTCACATAACAAACGATCTTTAAAACTTTTCTTTCACTTACCCTAGTACGTTTTTCAAAAGAACAAAACTTCTGCAGGGCGTAGGAAAATTCGACACTAAGCAGGTAGCGACTAAAATGGCGGACACCAGCCGTAATTCCCGTTTTTATCTTACAGGTATATTCAACACCAAATAAATATAGCTGCGACATAAATAAAATACCATAATTAATTAATTTATTTATTTTAATAAAAGTAATGTGCATTTTATTTCTTTATAACTGTAATAATATCTAAATATAATACAACTAGTACCTAATTTTTGTACATTTTACCGTTAATATACTTGTATACAATGATTTATTTGCTATTATAAGAATGATAAGATACAGCTTACAAATGAAAATACAATTACATTTAATTCAGGATGATTTAAAAACAAAAAACTTTCATTGCGACAGGTTTTAGGAGAATAATTACTAACCGCGTTATGGACTTCTGATATGCTTCTTGGTAACGGACCTGGTAACAGTTTACGACCACAGTTGTAAATGTTCTTTCTTATGCTAGCTATGTCAGGAACCGTCGGCAAATTGGCATCACACTCAGCAACAGCAGTTCTTGTAATTTTGGCAGGCTTTTCCGATATGTCCTCTTGGACTTTTCTTTTACATGCATTGGTTACCATCTTTACTTCAAGCTTTTTTGGATCGGCTTCATGATTATGTACCAAATCACTTCTTGTGATGGTGAGGTCCTCACAGCCTATTGTAAACACTTTTGCGGTACACTTAGTGTTTCTTTGGATGCAGCGCCAAAATATCTCGCCGCTTTTTAACACTTTCTGTTTCGAGAACGAATGATGCTCCACCACTAATAAATCTCGACCACGGGAACTTTTTATCAAACTCATTTTTTAAATATCCGTATACGTGCACAAGTCAACGTCAAACAAGAAATAAATTAGAACTGAAATAATTGAGTCACAAGTACACAAGTGCCACGCCCCCCGCCGTGAAAATAAATATTGGGAAAACCCGCTTGCCCTGCTTGGGTGCAAATGTCCATCGCCGCTAATTACCTACCTACCTGCTCTACGCTGCGGTGTCGAAATTTCCTATAATAAAATTTGACCCTTCGATTACCCCAGGTACAAAGTCAATTTGGTGTCGAAAGTTCGCCCGCCGCTTCTGCAATAAACTACATCCAAAACCGTTTTCTTAAATGCATTTCCCTTGACGTGTGATCGTTTGTAATGTAAAACTTTAAATTCTGCATTTTCTGTTCATATTTCAAATGCCTCATATTTTTTACCACAACTCAAAATTGAAATTCGATGTTATAAGTTTTAAAGCTTGATCTCTAAAAATGGAGTGTTCAATGAAAGTGTTCAATTTTATTGATCTCACGAGAATAGTAAAAAATGGCAAAAATCGGGCCTCGTTAATTTATTTAACAACTTAATAAAAAATAAGTTTATACTCGGCAAAATACAAAAACTGCATCCAAAAGCTGCACAATTTGCCTTGATGCATCTTACTTTTTGTCGGTAGGACATGTGGATCAAAAGATATCAAATTTTTACCGTTGAGCTGATACAAATTTTATTGAACACTGATTTCGCGCGCGAAACTGACATGCAAAATCGACGGTCGCTTCAAGCGTTGTTTCTAAGAAAATGGTTCATTCTTCACATAAAATGCTTATAAACATTTTTATTTAAATTGATCTTATCTGCATTTTTTATTTGAAACATTTTTTCTACGGTGTACAGATTCTTGGTAAATCAATTTTTTTGCATTTTTCCCTCCCTGCGAGGGAGGCTTTATGGGAAGCCAGGGGGTAAAAGTGGTAAACTTTTTTGCACCTTTTTTGGAGTTCCACAATTAATATTCTCTGCAAAATTTAGGTTGTTCGTATGATTTTGAGGCGTCAACTCTCTGGCGACTGGACTATGACAAAAGTTGAAACATTCTTTTTATCTTTGTGTTACTAAACTATATAAATCGATTATTTACCATGTATAATATTTAATTGCAGAAATTATAAATTCGTCTTTAACATTATTAACTGTTATTTTTATTGGTCTTGAATGCCAATTTAGAAAAACTGTTTAAAGATGCTCTTGCAAATTTAAAAAGCGGTATCCATCTAACAATAGATTTGGTCAATAATTAAGATAAAGTTGCAATATCATCTGTCTAACAATCTATTAGCCTTTAGACACCCAATATTAGACATAGGTCTTCCCTTACTCTATCTCGAGCTGTGTGCATCCACCTAGAACCAACGTGGTGTTTCAGACCATCCACCCACCTCATCTGTGGTCTTCCTCGTTTTCATTTCTGTATGCAGGAATACCAATGTATACAATTTCGTATGTTGTTCTTCTTTAAAATAACATGTTAGAGATAAATATCAAATAAATAAAATCAGAATACATATAAAGAAAATAAAGTCATTTTTTTAATTGGACAAAATTTTATGTAATATGAAATTTAATTTATCCATATTGTTACGTTTTTCTGTGGGTTCGAGGATTAAGTGAAATACACTTAGCTAACCTAATTTTATTTAAACACTCAAATACATGAAAACAAATACTAACTCACTAAATAACAAATTATGTCTCATTAATAATTAACGTATATCACTTTACTAAAGATTTAACATTTTTCAAGCGTTGAATTACCGCCTTCAATAATTAGATGGTAATTTCTAGATTGTACGTCCAGTTACAATATTGTAAAGTCCAGGAAGATTTCGGGAATAAACCATTAATAGAACGCCAGGTATTTTCAAGATATTACAGGACTGTAATTACAGTCAAATAACAATCTTCTTAATGATGGTATCTTGGATATAATAGGAAACTGTTTTGAAAAGCATGAAGATCTGATACTTAATACGAAACCTTAAAGGAATTTTATTTTTATGGTAACTTACGACAATAAACCTTTAAAAAATGCCGAATTATTTCCAGCTGTCATCAAAAATGTTATTTGAGCCAGAAACATTATCAACAACGACTGCGAATAAGGAAGGAGAAAAAAAACACTAGTCAATAAGTTAATTATCTTAATTTACAATGACGGCATATCTGATGCATATCTCATTGTTTAAATTTACTTTAGCTTGACCAAAAACGTATTTTTAAAATTTATTAACATAAATATAATTTTTTTTATAGATATGGGCGGTCTTAATGAAGAGGCACAAAATGGCGCTGTTGATGTGGCAACATGGTGAGGAAGCTTTAGCGAAAGCTCTAGTAGGTTGTAAATTGTACAAGGCGATGGCACACGAAGCAGCCGAGGATGATATGGAAACCGAAGTATATGAAGAATTGCGTGCTTACGGAAAAGAATTCGAAAATATTGGTAATATGATTATTAGTTTAATAAATATATTTAAGGGTACACTTCCTGTCTAGAAAAAATAATGAGTGAATTTTGTAAATTTCGTTTGTGGATATTAATTTTATTTTTGGTTTTGTAGTTTTTATTTCTTTTTTTAATATGATTTGTAAAGTGATAGCTTCCAGCGCTTGTAGATATATATCTTCTATTGTACTGTTTCAGTGTTGTTGTTTCTGTTTCATTGTGTTGTTTACTTATTGTCTTTACGATCTTCTTGGTCTACCCCTTTTCCTACAGTTGGTGGGGATCCACTACTATTCGCTTTCGCCATAGGGACCATAATTCAAGGCCTTTCCACATGGTCATAGCATTTCAGCCTTTTTCATTCAATACTTTTCAGGATGTCTGTAGCTATTTCACTTTATGATTCCAACATTTATTAATTCGTTCAATATTGCTTGATCTATATATTCTAGTGAGTTGGAAAAATGTACATCAACAATTAATTTCTATTGAATTTATTTTTAATGCGTCTTTTTTTTATTAATTATTCACACCTCTGAACCATATGTAGAAATACTTTCTAAGGTACTCTGGTATATTCTAATTTTTTGTTCCGATCGATGTGGTTATCTCCAATTGGAATATTCATGTGTTCACATTTTTTTGTCCAGATATCCAAAGAACTTGTCTCCGCTGTTACCCTGTAGTTTTGCTGAACTACCATATCAAATACATTAAACGATACCAAATTATAATGGCACGGAAATTCGATCGTTAGTATACATACTCCAAATTATTCACTGTTATTCTTCGTTTTTAAATTAAAAAGTATTAGAAATAGGTAGAAATTTTTATGTTGGATGTTTCCGACAAGGATTTTGTCAAAATTTTCCAAAGCTCAGTGGGTCGCCTATATTAATTTTATTTAACACTGCCGCTATCTGTTGACAGATCTACAAAAATCAAATTTTTTGGCGCGGAAGAACGAGCAAAACGTGGCAATTATATAATGGGGCATCTAATGTTAATCAAGATACAGTATTTTTATGGCCTTGACTTTCATTATATTTTTACAACCACAATCTAATACTTATAGCCTGTAGATAGAGCATTAAACTGTGATTGTAGATTTTTAAAAATATATGAAAGTATAAGTCATTAAAACAGTATATCTTATACTTGTGCGAAAATTTTAATATCCCTTAATATGTGTGTGACGTATTATTTTGCGATTTTAACTTTTAGTCTCTCTAGATTTATTTCTATTATGATGTCAAAGTAGTTTGTGACTTCTTTGGTCTTTACATTATTGTTATTTTACTCTTTTTAGTTTAGTCGAATAAAACCTGCAATACTAATTTTCTAAATTTTTTTGTTTAGCCTTAGAAGTATTAGATTATTGCTATAGACAAGACGATGATCAAACACAACAACTCCTTACCTGTGAGCTACAAAACTGGTCAGGTCATACCTGCCTCAGCCTAGCCGTTACTGCCAACCACCGAGCACTTTTGGCACATCCTTGTTCGCAAATAATCCTTGCAGACTTGTGGATGGGAGGATTACGCACAAGAAAAAACACAAATATTAAGGTAAAATTGTAAATATTCTGTATGTGGCTGTCGAATTTGCTACCACCGTGATAGAAGCGGTGCTGCGGTGGTACCAAATTTATATATAATGTAAGTGATGGTCATCAATTTTCTTAGTAATTTTTGTTCATTATCTGGTATTTTCGCTTCATACAAAAACTTTAATTTCCGTATAATTATAATAATTAATTAATTGCAATTATAACTTCTGATCTACTTAAAATAAAAACCTGGTCCGACTCTAATTTACTCTCTTTTAATGTGGATAAGACAGTAGCATTATCCTATAAAGGAGCTCTTTAACCCTCGCTTCTTAATAACAGCCAGATCAGTATAATTGATTATGTAAAATTTCTTGGTATTTTTGTAGACAGTAACCTTAAATGGTCCCTCCCTATGGATTTGTTAAGTAAGAAAGTAGTCTCAGCCTGTTATGCAATAATATCTGTTTCGAAGGAAATGAATTTGGCATCTTCCAAAATAACATACTTTTTCTTTGTTCGAGTCTCATCTTCGATAGGCTCTTTCTTTTTGGTATTTTGGATTTTAGTACAGCTGCCCAATGTGATACGGCATCTTTTTGGCCTCAGTAGAATAACACATTGCAAAAGCTGCTTCAAAAATCACGGGATTTTAACTCTTCCCTTTCTATATATTCTATAAAGTGTTTGCTTAATTCGTAAACACCTACATGTTTTGCCAGCAAGACCTAGCCATGACTACTCCACGAGAAATTCAATCTTTGATGTGTATTTACCGATCCCATAAGCCTATCTATCTGATATTCCTTATTATTCAATGGAAGAGTTTCTTAACGAATAATTAAGAAAGTACTGTACGTTTAGGTACAAGCACAAAGTTTTTTTAGATATATATTTGGTTATCACATGCAGCAGCTTAAACTTATTCGTAAACTAGTTCGTAAGGTTTTATTATGCAATTTGTTATTTAGTGAAATTTTACAATGGCCTGTATATTTTATTTTGTTTTATTCTGTGATATTGACGATTTATGTAATTTTAGTAAATTTTAATTGTTATTATTAAGTATTATTTTTTTACTTTTGTAAGCTTTCTCCATAAAATTGTACAATTTTATGAACAATTGATTTTTTTTTATTTTTGCCTCAAAATATGCAGAGATAATAAAAATTAGGTATTGAATTCAGTAGGTAATAAACTTAGTAACTTCCATGGATTCTAGTTTAATTGAAAATTACTTTAATATTAATTATTAATATTAATTAATAATTAATAAACCAAATAATTAATTACTGTTTTTCCATATGATCCATATGCATAACTTGTCAATATTCATCTAAAATTCATCATCTATAAAGCTTGTTGCTGACTGAAGCCCGCCATCCACGTTTAAACGCTGCAGTACGATTTTGTCAAATGCTACAAAATTGAACGTAGTTTGATCATATTCGACCAAATCGGCGCGATTTGACGGCAGATAAACAAGTTCTGCAGTAGTACGACAGAGTTGCTTGAGTCGTAAATTTAATCGTGTATATTGTGACAACGACAAAATCGTACGACTGCAAAAAAAAACATTTCCAACATTTCGAAAACGGCTTATAGCTAGCAGTTTAAGAGATTTCTTTGACATTTATAAAAAAACAAGGATAAAACCGCTAGAAAAAAAGTTGTGAATATTTTGGGTGCTAAATTTTAAGAAATGAAATTGCATACTAATAAAGAATTGGTAAACAAGAAAATTAATAATTTTCGAACATGATACAAGAGGGAATTAAAATTATCTGGATATAATCGCAATTCTTTTAATAAATCCACGTGACAAGTATGTATTTTCAGCAAAAATCTTTGCACCACCATCTAGGTTTCTTATTTTTTGTTCGTTTATACAAAGAGAAAATTTATTAGACATGTTTCGGATTTGAAAGTAAAACTCATACTGCAAAATCGGTACGTGTGTGTTCCCATCCGATCTTTAACACTATTGTACTGCAATTGCATTCGAGAAAATCATACTGCGCCGTTGGAACGTGAGTGGCGGGCTTTACTATGCTCTGCACGGCGAAGCGAAGCCCGGGGAAAAAGGTTGTTAGGAATTTTCTTCCTGTAGTTACATATATCCGCGCGTATCTGTGCGATGCAACGCGCGGCACCGCGAAAAGAAGAGATGAATCGCAACGGTAGAATCCTAGCCATACTGAATAAACGCAACCACCTTCACTAATATCGCTATATGTCCCACACACACGCCAGATTCTCTAAATCTTCAGATTCTTGAACAGATTTAAAAGACACACATTCAGCCACGCATACTATCAGTACCAACAATTTGCCAGCATTGCAACAATATATTACTCAAAGTCCAATACAGTATTCTTCCTCATTTCCTGATTAATATTTACAGTCTTCTTCTTTTGTGTCACAGATTCAATATTCTGAAGAAGAGCAAGATGAACCACAAGATAAATCATTTATATAGCTATTAAAAATTGTAAATGTTAATAACAGAATGCGTGATTTAAGAATAATTACCTAGTTTATCTTACTTTTATTCTTTGTATGTTTTTTTTTACTTTTTTTTGTAAAGAAAGTTATTAAAGAGTGTTTTTATTTGGATAATTGAATTCTACTTGTTTACATAATATATTACCTAATAATTTTCCTAACTTAAACAAACGGGGAGTCTTTTATTAACACCAATATAGCGACAAGTTCAGTAAATTTTTCATAGCTCATTCTATAATACTGAAAAAAATATCTTTGAGCAAATCGCAATGAAAATGGCGAAATTCTCCCTAAATATCCCGTTTTAATTGTATGTTATGAATTCAAGGTTTTCTTGTATGATTAATATTAGGTTCTTCTTCTTTAGCTGCAGCACATGCAATTACAAACTCTTCTGAACTGTGTCATTATTTCAAAAACTATCGTAAAACACGTGTCTACACACCTACTTTAACGCCAAAATACAGCTGCCTTCGACTCCAAACCGAACAACGTACTGTATCTCCTAAGCCAGTGATTCTCAACCTGTGGTCCGCAGGGTTTTTATGTGGTCCGCGAAGTGAACAGTCATAAAATAATCAATTTAAATCTTGGTTCTTGAGACGTAAATTAATGCGCCGGCCTATCTTTTTAACTCAAAACGTTTCCAGACGACCAAGCGCGTCTGAACACAGGTTCATTCACCTTAATCTTCCCTTTCGGCCGCTGTCGTGTACGTACAGGACACTGCGACCACTGCGTTTTTTATCGCGCCACTACTCAGTGACTCAGTGCTGACTCAACTGTCAAGTGACGAGCGGGCGTCTTTTTTGGCTTGGTGATTGTAGTTTACTAAAATGAGCAAACAGATGAAACTTTCGAGTTTTTTTAAGAAGCCGGATAGTGAGAAGCAGGATGTTGTACTAGTAATATTGTCAGTGATAGCACAATATTAACTCAAACTTTTCCTAAAAGAAAGGCTGCTAACCGTAAGTACAATTCTGACTACATAGCATGTGGATTTACATTCATTGAAGAATTTGGTGTCCAGTTACCTCAATGTGTAATTTGTGCGGAGGTATTAAGTAATGAGGCAATGAAGTCGGCAAAATTAACTATACACTTTGAAACAAAGCATAAAAATTTTGCCGGAAAACATGTAGTTTTCTTTAAGAGGAAGGAGACGGAACTAAAATCGTCAAAAAATATCCTTAAGTTATATTCAACTTATGATAAAGCTACTTTGAAGGCGTCATATCAACTTTCACTTAGAATCGCAAAAACCAAAAAACCCTTTACTGTTGGTGAGGAATTAGTTTTACCATGTATCGTAGATGCAATTAAAGCAATTTTAGGTGATAAATACGCTAAACAAATGCAAAATATTCCTCTTTCCAATGACACCGTTAGTAGGAGAATTGAAGAAATGGCATCAGATGTTGAAACCCCACTTCTAAAGAAAATTCATTCCTCAAAGATTTTTGCTGTACAACTTGATAATTCTGCAGATATTACCAATAAAGCTATTCTTCTTGTTTATATACGATTCATAGATAAAGACAACAAAAAATTATCTGAGGAGTTCCTGACCTCGATTGAGTTGCAATGTAACACAACCGGAAAAGACATTTTTAAAACCATTGACGGATATTTCACAATTAAAAATCTTTCTTGGAAAGACTGTGTAGGACTTTGCTCTGATGGTGCCGCGGCAATGACAGGTCACAAAACAGGCTTGCCAAGTTTTGTAAGGAAAGAAGGAAACCGTGATATTGTTTTAACACACTGTATTATTCATCGCGAAATGCTTGCTGCCAAAAGATTAAGTCCCGACCTAAACAAGGTTTTGACTACTGTGGTAAAGGCCGTGAACTTTATAAAAAGTAATGCTCTTGGTTCGAGATTGTTTGCTTTGTTATGCGAGGACATGAGATCCATCCATTCCAATCTCCTTCTACATACCGAAGTTAGGTGGCTGTCCAAGGGCCGGGTTTTAGAAAGATTTTATGAACTTCGAGAAGAAGTAGGTATGTATCTTGATGAAAAAAAAAACCTGATTTAGCGAAACCACTGCGTGACGGAGAATTTATGGCCCAGTTAGCTTTTTTAGCAGATATTTTTGAACAGCTCAACATATTGAATCTAGGCCTGCAGGGACCATCTAAAACCGCATTTGACCTTTGAAAAAAAATTGATTCATTTAAGAAAAAATTGTTGCGATGGGAGTCCGAAGCTGGAAAAGGATCGTTTGAAATGTTCAACTTGTTTTCAGATTTTATCTCTGAAAATAAGGGCTTAAATGAGGATGTTTTACATTCACTGGTTAAGTCCTACATTAAGTCGCTTCAAGATTACTTTGAAAAGTACTTCCCTGCTGATACAGATGTGAGGAAAAATAATCTGTGGGTGGTTGATCTCTTTTTAGCTACCCACAATAATAATCTGTCTATTCAGGAAAATGAACAGCCTATTGAAATTTTATCCGATGATCATTTAAAAGTGATAAAATCTCACTGCGAAAATGTTGCGGATTTTTGGATAGGATTACTTGATGAAAGTCCACTGCTAAGTAAAAAAGCTTTGGAACTTCTTCTTCCTTTTCATTCCACTTATCTCTGTGAGGCATCATTCTCAACATTATATGTCATTAAGAATAAACACAGAAATAGGTTGCTAAATTTAAATGCTCCTATGAGACTGGCGTTAACTTCTTTCGATCCAAATATTGAGAAACTTTCAAGTGAGAATCAAGACCAAGGGAGTCATTAACGTCTTAATTTGGCGCTATCTATGACTTTTTATTTTGTTTTTATATACCTTTTGTCTTTCACTATTTATTTTCTTTTTTTATTTTGTAAATAATAAATTCATTAGTAAAATTTCAGTGTTCATCTCATTTTACCTATTATTAGGAAATATTAATAATAATATCTAAGTGGTCCGCCAAGAGTTCTGAAAGGTACAAGTGGTCCTCAGTGATGAAAAGGTTGAGAACCACTGTTATAAGCGAAAACCGTGCACATATTGGCGCGCATTTCAAAAATTCGTCGCGCCATGCTTCGCTTCTCTCTGCTTCTAATTTCTTTAAGTGAACGACAAGCTTTATTCGTTTTTTATTATCTATAAAGTTATTGATCTTCAAAGTATATTTCTTATATTTTAATTATAATGTTCATTGATTTTTAGGTTATTTTGGGTTTACTGTGTATGCCTTACATATTCAAATTAGAATTTAAATCAAAAGAAGAATTACAACTTATGCCTCAAACTACAGAAGAACATATGGAGCTTGAAAATGACGATGACGACAAATCTGATTCGGAAAAAAATCAAGATGGAGATGTAAGTTGCGGAAAGCCTAGTAACACTCTGGCAAGTTAATACTAACACATTTAGATAGGCATATTTAATATACTTAGTTATTTTTCTAGCATAAGGTGGTTCGTAAAACTTACATTGAATTTTATAATCCAAAAGTAAGCAAAATGTTAACATTTCAAGTTAGCACTTGAGAATTTATCACGTATTTAGCACATTTATTTTTATAAATATTGGTAACTGTATATTTCTTATCCAATTTAAGATTCAAATAGGATCATATTCATCAAATATTTAAATTAAATTAAATTATTAAATAAAGTTTAAATTAGTGTATCTATTAAACACAATTTAGAAATGCATCATGGCATAGATTTTGTGATATAAAAAATAGAAGATTTCAATTTTCAATGGTCTTTATATGCGCCTGTTAACTGGTAATCGTACAGTGATATCATAAAAACTGCTATCAATAATTTTCAAACGAAGTATAAATTAATTCCATTACTTTATTATTAGTGTGAAAACGACTGGAGGGGCTACCGCATCATATATTCAATGTTTTCATTGTAGAAGCCATATACATGAAATTCAAGAAAAGAGATACATGATAATGCAACGAAAATACTTTCAGAAAAGTAGACAATTTGATAACACTTACTTTCTTTATAAAATTCATTCTTCTATTTAGGAAAGATTTGTTAAGGTATAGTGATTCTAGTGCTATTACAAATATAAACCGAGACCAAGGACTTAAGCGATTGTCTTCCAGTTTGTAACAAAGCATCCAATACATAGAATTACACGTAGATTTGAAAAACCTAATAAAGAGGAAATACAAAAGAAACATTTTAGAAATGCGTAAAAATTAAAAGGAAACATTATTATTGAGGAGATTTCAAAATATCCTACGTTTATAATGTAATTAAGCCTTATCTGATTAGCGGAAAACAGGGTTGAAATATTTTGTTACTCCACAGTCTGTATTTTCTGCTAATAACAGAATAAAATACGTCTTTTACCCTTTCACATAGAAATAAACAATAAGTATCGAACGGGAAAGATGAGACGTTCATGAAGTCATCTATATGTTCCGAAACTTTTCCGAAAACGATATATCAATTTGTGGTTGAGTTTACCTCATGATACTATAAACTACAGATAAACCCACGCGCACGCGATCAGTCGTGTGACGTCACTTGGCGACAAATGTCACCAGAAATGTTCTGTGTTGTATAGAGTTTTGTCAGATTTAGTCAAGGTTAGTAGATATTTAAGTATCTACTTAAATATCTACTAACCTTGAGATTTAGTTTTGTTTTATCGTTTATCTTGTACGTTGACATCGGTTTACTGGGTAAACCATCTTTCCGAAGGAGGTTTACTTAAACCATATCCAGATTTTCTAATTAAATGTAATGAACTGGACCATATTTTTAACAATTTTAACAAAGGGTCATTAAAATTAACCAAGAATTATTTAAAATTGCTAATGGATTTAGCTGTGTTCAGATGTAATGTTAGTAAAGGTGTAAATTATATTTTAAAATTAGAAAATTGAATAGATATATTAAAGAAACATCCAAAGTTAAGAAGAAGAAAATATTAAAAATTGTAAAATAAATTGTTAAATAAACTTGTAAATTATTACAGTGTATTTTATTTTATTAGTTGTATTAAATTTTTATTTTAATAAATCAATCCATTGTATATAAATTTCCATTTGCAAAAGGATGTTTAGTTCTTACTTTTTTATATAATTTTAGTTTACATTGCTAGGCTAACAGAGATGTATATATAACATATTTTTAAGATTTAATTGCAGATATTTTACCTAACATCCCAATATTTAAATAAAACCCCCTTTCTTTCCATATATGTTTTACCGACTGTGATGATAAAAGGTTGATGATAAAAGTGACTTTTATCACCAATTGACGTCATGCGCGTCGATGTACAAAATTCGATTGCGAAGTGGGTTTATCTTGGAAGTCTTAGTATCATGAGTTTACCTAAAGTACAGGCTAATTATAACCGCAAATGTCAAACATGGTCAACATGGAATAATAACTTTTGGCATAGCAGTGTTGGCATGTTTTTATAACGTAGATGTATGCTTCAAATATAAAAAGATAAAGCTTTAGAAAAGTAGATTTTGTTTGTATTATATTATGAATTCTGCAATTTTTGATTTATATAAAATAACAATGAGTAAAGATTTGTTTCTTTGGAGATTCATTGCAGATAATTATTAGAACATTTTTTAGCAATTACCCTTTGATAGATTAGGGGATAGATTTGGCAATCGTCAAATCAGCAGTTGCCAGATTACAACAGATGTTTGCAATTAATCTCGAAAGAGACATATATTTACTCGTTATTGCTTCATATAAATTAAAAATTGCAGAATTCATAAAATAGTATAATCAAAATATACTTTTTAAAAGCTGTATCTCTTTATATTTGAAGCATACAACATATGCACTATAAAAACATGCGAACACTGCCAAACCGAAATAGTTTTGACATTTGCGGCTGTATTCAGCTTGTACCCATGATACTAAGACTTCCAAGATAAACCCACTTCGCAATCGAATTTTGTACATCGACGCGCATGACGTCAATTGGTGATAAAAGTCACTTTTATCATCAACCTTTTATCATCACAGTCGGTAAAACATATATGGAAAGAAAGGGGGTTTTATTTAAATATTTAGAATATTAAGGGATGTTAGGTAAAATATCTGCAATTAAATCTTAAAAATATGTTATATATACATCTCTGTTAGCCTAGCAATGTAAGCTAAAATTATATAAAAAAGTAAGAACTAAACATCCTTTTGCAAATGGAAATTTATATACAATGGATTGATTTATTAAAATAAAAATTTAATACAACTGATAAAATAAAATACACTGTAATAATTTACAAGTTTATTTAACAATTTATTTTACAATTTTTAATATTTTCTTCTTCTTAACTTTGGATGTTTCTTTAATATATCTATTCAATTTTCTAATTTTAAAATATAATTTACACCTTTACTAACATTACATCTGAACACAGCTAAATCCATTAGCGATTTTAAATAATTCTTGGTTAATTTTAATGACCCTTTGTTAAAATTGTTAAAAATATGGTCCAGTTCATTACATTTAATTAGAAAATCTGGATATGGTTTAAGTAAACCTCCTTCGGAAAGATGGTTTACCCAGTAAACCGATGTCAACGTACAAGATAAACGATAAAACAAAACTAAATCTCAAGGTTAGTAGATATTTAAGTAGATACTTAAATATCTACTAACCTTGACTAAATCTGACAAAACTCTATACAACAGAGAACATTTCTGGTGACATTTGTCGCCAAGTGACGTCACACGACTGATCGCGTGCGCGTGGGTTTATCTGTAGTTTATAGTATCATGACTTGTACCCTACTTTCGGTAAACTCAACCCAATTTGTTTATGGGTATTTTAAACTGACTTTTGAAACATAAAACCAAAATGAAATTGCGCATTTTTAAACTATTTGACTTAAGATTTCATCTCATAGATTTTGTTTTTAATTTGATGTCCAACCTATTAAAAAATGGCCTCAAACAACGCTAAAATTGGCTCTTTTTGATAAATCAAAAGTATTTTTAAAAATAATTGAATAGGATAATTTTGTTTTTTTTTTTCATAAAATCTATTATAAATAAATTAGTATACAAAGTACGAAGTTTATTTAAGAAGTTTTTTGACAAGCTCTATACATTTTTTCCAATTATCTGCTGTAATATTATTACATTCGTTCGTAATTAAATCTACAATAGTGGAAAATGATTTAGGAGAATTATTATTTTTCCTCTCATTACTTTTTAATTAAGGTCACAACAATTCTATTGGATTCAGTAGGTACACAGTAGTAAGGAGGTAATCTTAATACTTTATGGCCATAATTCTCCGCTAGCCTATCGATATAGGCTAGCGGAGAAATATAATTTTTTTCGCATTTAACTAATTTTAATAGTTCTACAAGTTGTTTTTTTTTTGTGTAAGAATCCATAAAATATATTTCATGTTTTGATAAAAATTCTTGAATTTCAGCTTTGTTTGAATTAGTGTTTGGAATTTTACTCTTTAGTAAACAATGATACGGAGCATTATCCAAAATAATAACGCTATTTTTTTTTAATTTAGGTAGTAATTGCTGCTTAAACCCCTTTTCAAACAAAGTAATCTCGATGGTAATCTAAGCGACAATCACTTACACTTTTAGCAGAGGGTAATAAAGTAAAGCATCTTCTACCCATCCTGGTTCTCTTCCATAATGTAAAATACAAATTATCTTCACTCTAGAGGGAGGAACACTGGTGACTCAATTTTTCGTCGATCCAACATTGTTTAACTATATCGTGGGCGTCGAACCAAGTTTCATCCAAATAATACAATTTCCTCCCTTCACTCCCAAAAGACCTTCGACTTTCCAAATAATCGAACCTCCACTTTATTAAACGGCTGGATTCCATAATTGCTTGCCGTTTATTCATTATTTTAAACATAAAATCATTAGATTTTAAAAACCTCCAAAAAGTAGTTTTATGACACAGGGGGATTATTTCTCTGTTTCTTAATTCACCCAAAAGTTTAATTAAAGTTGGTAAGTTATTCACTGAATACATATGATATATTGTTTCACATACAGCTGATAAATGAAAATTCGGTAATATTCGATGGGCACCAGAATCCTTTCTTTTTTTTTTTTCGCAACACTGGACCGTCTTTTATGAGTTCGTACACAGTGGATCATGGCACTTGTGTCAAAAAACCGTCTTTTTGATCGCCTCTGATTTAACAACCGTCGAAAGAAGACCTAAGAAAAAATATGTAATTTTACTTTTTAAGGAATTCTCGCAGTTCGGTGTTTTTTATGAATTAATTAATCGGTAAATATGATTAACCTTCCTAATACCTGGTGGGGCGAATTCTCGCTCCAGGTCTGTTTTTATTAATATCTGTAATTAAGTTTAATCAATTGC